ATTGTTGATAGTTCTTCAAATAAAAATAGAAAATGACACGAATGACAAACATGAGAATAGAGGCCTGTTAACATGCCACAACCGATAATCACATGATGTAACAGTGTTGATAGTGTAGCAATTTGTTTACGATAAAATAACATTATGACTGTATCATAAGCAAAATAACCTTTAAAAAAAACGAGATATAAAAGATAGTGTAAAAGATCATCTATTCTATCCAAATATTTTCTTTAAACTAACCTAATGATATACAAATACTATACGCCATATATTCATCACCTGTTCCCTTTACACCACCACCTAATACACGATTTGTTGTTTTTAATCCATTATCAAATTTCCAACACCACATGGATACAGAAACAACGGATATTGTAGCATGGAACGTACTCAATATGTAACTTTTAATCATTACTATGGGTAATATTTTTCCACTAACATCTGGCATTTGCATTGATTTTGGCACACGAATAACATAGAATAATGTCATATGTAAAATAAATGACAAACTTATAACTGGCCAAAAATTAATATTCGGTGTTGAACCCAAATCTATGTATTTAAAAAATTAAAGAAAAATGCACGTTTTGTATGATGATGATTAATTTATTCACTTACATTCAACGCGTGGATCGTACTCGGATAACATGTACTGTTAAGGCAATTTCTTACTGAAAAATAACATTTCTATACTTATGTCTATTGAATTACCATCATTCTAACCTTATGATATATTTTTTAAAAAAACAATTCCATGCAATATCAGTCTAAATTGTCCAAAAAATAAGAAAAATTAGTCATCAATGTTTTACACGTATTCTGTCAATCATACAATAAAGTAAACAGAATTGTCGTGCATGGGTAACCAAGCATCCGTGACAAAACTATCTTTTTTCATTTTCACCTTTCACAAGCTTAAGCAAATAATTAAATTGAAAAGCATCGAAGAAAATAGGCAACTAGCTGTGGTTCGAGCGATCAGTGTTTGATCAGCTACAAGATTTTAAGTCCTGAAGAAAAGTCATTGAATGACAAGTGCCTAGATGTGCTTCGCGATGCTGTATCCGAAAATTGTATTGGTGAGATCGAAAAATGAAAAGATCAGAAGATAATCAGGATTTTTCTGAAAAATCGGTTTTTCGAGATTGATGCCCTCATAGTATTTTGAGGTTTTCTGCATGAAAACTCGATCAAATCGAAAAAAATAAGGTCAGATTCGTGATCAGCAGCGTACGACGAATCAGAATATGTGTTTGAAAACTCAAAAGCTTTTCCACTTGATTTTTGAATTAGCGGCACCTTACCCACCAATTTTCAGTTCTTAATCATTAATTCTACAATCACCCCAAATGAAGACTAGAAGAAACTATGATGTATTCTTATCACACAGTACCTTTCTCTTACGATACCAAGATTTTTCAAGTTCTTTTTGAGTAGCAGATCATTTTGATCGTATTTAACATCATTTAAATAGTTCAGTGTGTAATTCAGTTTGCGTTGTGCCTATAATTCATTGTTTGAGTATTATAGGCAACAGGTATGGGCGAGTCCGAACCCGTACTGAAAGGTTTTTTTGAGGACTCGGGCTTGGACTTGGACTGGCGATTGTTTGAAAAGACTCGGACTCGAACTTGAGTTTTTGTATTTCGAGTCCGATTGATTCAAGTTTTAACGTAAATGAACAGTAAATTTTTTCTTTATTTTTATTGTTCCGAGTTCGATGTAATTCAAGGATGGTCTACACCTGTTCATTCAATATCAATGTCTAAAAGAATGAAAGCTGAAGTAACAACTTCTGTTTCACAAGAAATTGAAATTTTATGCGAGAGACAGGCATTCAAAGTAATCTTATTTTCGAAAAATCAAATATTTATTCAGGTCTCAGTAAATTAGCTGGAAAACTTTGATGTGTTCCAGCTACATCGGCACCCATCGACCGTATTTTTCCTACATCGAAATTTTTGATTAGGCATAAAAGAGCACGTTTTACGAAAAACAATCTATCTCAACTAACATTGTTAAAAAATAATAGAAGTTTAATAATTTTTTCTGTTTCAATAAGATTGATGTAGCACAGAAAAAAAATAAAAATAAACCGCAATCATCAAGAAAGAAACTAAATGATTACCGGACTCGAAATGGACTTAGGACTCGAATTCGAAATGAATTTTTAAGGGTTCGACTCGGACTCGGTACCCTCCGGGACTCCCCCAGCTCTGATAGACAATATTAACAAACGATGAGAAATAATAGAAAAATAGAATCTCATCATCGCATATCAAAGGTACGCCAGATTTGTGATTCTTTGGATTGTAATGAAGATATGGTAATTCACAGCCTTGCGATCGTTTTAGTTTTTTAGTTTTTGATATACGCTGGTTGGTATACGTTTCTTTTTTATTTAATCTTTCAAGAGTTTATTCGTGTTCTCAATCATTTGTTTCAAGGGATGTTCAGATATTTCTAGGCAGGCATCCGTTTTAGCCATATAATACTCTAATTTTCTAGCATAGTTACTCGGTATATCTAAGTTAAACACCTCTGATTTATCTGTTTGTCGAAAAACTACTTTTTTCTTTAGTTGTTTTTTGATAGATATTTACCAGTCGTTCTTGAGTTATATTTTTTACTTTTGACCAAAATCCTCTATTATCAGTCTGACAAACTTCGGTTGAACCGATTGTTCCCTAAATTTGTCTGCTATTTTGTTAGTCACGACCAGAGTTGCCAGTTGCTTAGGTCAGAAAAGCGAAAAAAACGGAAACGCATTTTTCACCAAACACAAAGGGTATCAAAAAAAATTTTTCGGGCGCTTTATAGCGGTTCCATTCCAAGTACAAAACATCATTTAAATCCCAATTTGAATCGATATTGGCTTTTTGTGAATGCGCATTTTTTATCAGCCATCATAAATTTCAAGAGTTATGTATGACAGGAGAAAACTTACGAAACTTTTCCGCCTACAACGGTACTTAATAGTTAAGATTTTCTGACCAAGTTGGCTTCCTTGAGAATTTAGTATTTCACTATTTTTCATACTCCCTTTTCACACCACTTGAGGCAAGCTAATATTTTTCTGTTACCGCTCACTTCCGAGGCAAATTTCTGATTTAGTTCCTAAAACAGTGCGTAACTGTTTTATAAAAGTTGCAAAAGCATTGTATTGACAAGTCATTCAGCTGTCGAAGGCGGCAAATTTTTTATGAGAAAATGTAAAAATCTTCATGCAGAAAAAAGGACAGAAATAAAAAATCCTCGAAAAGCAGACAAATTGTGGAGATAAACTCGAATATAAGCAAAAATTATTTGAGCAAAATGACTTTTAGCAAAAGAAGATGAGCAAAAAAATTTTGAGCAAAAAATTAGTTAAGCAAAAGGACTTTGAGCAAATGGAAGATGAGGAGATCTGTTTTGAGCAACTAGAAAATGAGCAAAAATTGCTTTGAGCAAATTTTTATTTTGAGCAAAAATGAAAAGTACATTAGAACAAAAGAGGACAATTTTCAAATTGTTGTGTATCGTCCATTCTTTGATTTACTAAGGACAAATGATATAGCTAGCAAAAAGTCCATTTCAGCTTTTAAACTGATTTAATTTCAACTCATTAATTCTTTCACATCAACTCATTAATACTACTGGGAAGGTTGAGTCTCTAGTTTTGTTTCAGCATCGTTTTCTTCTTAAAATGATATGTCATCTTTCACTAAATGATGACGCATCGAGCAATATTTATCAACTGCTGGAAAAAATGCTTACAGTTCTATTATAAAAATGATACACATATAATATTTTATTCACTTTTTGCTCATCTTCCATTTGCTCATCGGTTTTTTGCTAAAAGTAATTTTGCCCAAAATTGTTTTGCTCACATTCGAGGTATTCATTGTGGACAGCCGACACTTTGCGGAGAAAACCACAGAAAGTGGAATTTGTCCGCAAAATGCGGACCACCTGGCAACTCTGGTCAAGACTTTTATTTCGTCTGGTAATCATTTGAGTGCTTCCGCGTAATTAGAGTACACATGTTTTAGTTCACACCGCAGTATTCGTTTCTGATAGGCTGTCAAAGATGTTGCAATGGTCAACAAGTAGGTGTCGGCGCTTCCCAGATTTCTCTGCTATTTAAAGTGATAAAATTTCCAGGTTGGTCGTAAAATGTAGCCAAGAGTTGGCACCACAACTTAACAGAGCAGGATTTTCGATTTTCGACTTAGTCTCTGAGAAGAATAAAAGAGTAAAAAGTTCTCGAAAAACTAGGTACTTTTTTCTGAGTTATTTTTAAGTTTTAGGAAACTTTTATTTTTCTCAGAGACTAAGTCGAAAATCGAAAATCCTGCTCTGTTCGGTTGTAGTGCCAACTTTTGGCTACATTTACGACCAACCTGTGAATTTTACCACTTTAAATAGCAGAGAAATCTGGGAAACGCCGGCATCTACTTCTTAAAAAATACAATTTCGCGAAAAAAAGCAAAACAAGTTTATACTTCTTAAAACTTTCCTCTTTTTTAGAAGTTTTCGCAACGAAAATAACCGTGTTTGAACCCAAAAATCCATCGCTAAGACTAAAAACTATAGTACACTCGAAAGCTGCTCCTTTGGGCTATCCAACAATGTATGAATCTCAAAATCGACTTTTTTTGAGTGGACGAGAGAGAAGCATTAAATGGAGCCGATCAAATAAATCGTTATCGCTAAGTTCAGTTTGAACTATTTCGTATCCGTACTGTGATGTCCCTTATTGCAATTGATCATTGTAACAGGCAATCTGTTTTTAATCTTGTCTTTAGTTTGCGGTTGTCCGGCCAGTTTCGTTCAGTGTATTATTTCGTGTGTTAACACTCTTTGTTCTTTTGGATGACGATATCTGATGCTGGTTACTAATCGAGCAATGTCTGTTACCATTTGTTCAACGGCTTTTTTACCCAAATCATTAGTACCAGCGATAATTAAAACCGATTCAACTTTGTTGATAAAAAATTTTTCCGACCATTCTAGGAGCTATACAAGCTGTGAAATATCTAAAAGATCCGTCAAACCCTCAGCTTTCTTGGAAAATGCGTTAGAATTCGAGATTGAAAGCAAAGAAAGCCTTAGGAAGAGTCTTATTTTGTTCAGAATTCAATTTATCGATCGAGATCATTCTGGAAAAAAATGGTTTTTGAAAAAGATTTTCTGACAACCGTTAGAAAATCCTTTGGTGCGTTTTCCAGTATCCTGAAAATGTTTACATCGGATCTCCCATCATATTTTATCTACAAAAACCAAATTTTCATAAAATTTGAATGAAAACTGACTGTTTTATTCGCAAATCAGGCGCCCGATTTTGTGCAAAAAAGGAGGGTCCAGAAAAAGTGCATTATCTCAGAAACACAAGCAAATTTCCTAAAAAATGATACGTTACTTTTTTCCTGCCCATCTGATGATCACAACGATGCAAAAATCTGGACTCCATCTCTTTTTTAAAAGGAGTTTATGCACTTGGCGCGAAGAGAAGTAGAGTTTTTACCCTAATAACTAAACTTCGAATTGTGCAAGGCAAAAGTAATTCGAATTTTATTCAAACACACATTTTCTAAATCCGTTTTTGACGTAGATTAAGGATAGAAAAGCTTTCTCACTTACTGCTCCAAAGATACTAGCTAATTTTTGACAAAAAGGCGACTTTTGCGCTCTTTTTTCAAAAAAATTTTCTATTTTTGGCCCTCAAACAAACTTTTCGGAGCGCTACGAGACACATTCGGGTTCAGCTCGACAAGCTGTATCAAATGTCATATAAAAATTAAAAAAAATAAAAAGTAGTACATTTTTCAATTTCCTTAACCTTACTTTGTTATTGATAAATCATCGTTGCCATTTACTGTGGCTCCAGAGTATGAGGAGATTTTAATGAAATGATAATCATTTCTCAAATCTTCCTCACTAGTAAAAAACACTCGCCCATTTCTAAAGATTTTTAAAAAACATTTTTAAAATCAAAGACTTTTTATTGATTCTCAAAGCTTATACTGAAGTCAGCTTATAGTAAAGATTAAATTGAGCATACTTTTTCCTTTAGTTTTCCGTGAAAATAGCAAAAATGAGTCATTTCACCTAATACAGATTTTCGGTATGTTTTTACAGTTTTTTACGGAATGAAGATTGCCACACGATTCAGTACGGTCGATAATCCATGTTTCTATCCGTTTTTAAGATTGCCAAAAGCCATCGGACACCAATCCTGAGACTCCTAGTAAATTTGAGGGTATGCTCAATCAAAAATGAACAGGTTTGTAAGATTTCCGTTTTAAAGAGGATATTCTGGACTATCTAACCGTGAAATAAAATCAATAGATTGTATTTGAGCCTTCTGAGCCATCATCTGATTTTGCGAATTGCTTATGAAAAGATGTATTTCGAATATCGTATATCTGCATCTATTTTTGTTCAAACGTGATGCAAAAAGTTTGTGTTGATCCTGCGTTCTGTAAAGAATAGTACAAACTGATCTCGAAATCAACTTTATCGAAAGCTAGTATTCATAACAGAGGGGAAAGGGGAAGATTGATAGTTTATTAATTAATGGTACATTTAAAAAAAAAACGAAAAATCAATCACAGTCAGTATTGCTTGCGCAAATGTTCAATATGTGGTGTTTTCAAATATTTTTCGTATTTATTTCTAACCAATTATAAACATCATGTTTTGATTGTTTTCGAAGTTCTTCACCAACAATTCTCAATACATTTCGATGATACTCATTGATGTACGATATCTAAAATGTTGGTAAACAAAAACATCAAAACATCAACTAAAAATGCGAGATAGATCACTTCTAACATTATATGACTCTTCAGATGATTCTTACCTCATTTTCGTTTAACAACGTTTTATCAATCATTTTTGCCTGTATTGGTACTAATGTTAATTGATCAAATGTTAGCCAATCTTGATCATAAAAGGCATACTGGAAAAAATATAATCAATGATCAAAATAACAAACATACCATTCACTTAGGATAATCTTACCTTAGATTTCTGTTTAACTACAACAATACAATTTTCAATACGAATACCAAATTTATTATCACTATAAAATCCGGGCTCTTAAACGACATAAGAGATGGTTTAATCATGAAAATCTTGATAGAAATCTTACTGGCAGATTCAGAATATTTTTCATATTTAGAGACGCGTTTTCTCTTATAATGTAACGTAACGGGTGCGCCAGACGAAATGAACCCTTTAGTATTTTTCATTTTTGTCGTGTTCCTTTAAGATCTTAAACTTAATGTTTTTTCTAAAAGATGCGCCGCGAAATACTCTACAAAATCATACATAAACTTTGATTTCAGAGCGTCAATCAAGAAAACTAAGCGAATTATACGAAAGGCAAAAAAATAAAAACTGTCTAAACTCAAAAACGATTCCTTGTGTTAATATTTTAAAAGTGAGAAAAACTGAATTAGCTATTTTGTAGCCTTGACGTCGCTCTATCGTTAGCTACACTTCAAATTTTTTCACGTAAAAGTCCACGGGGAAATAATAATTTTTCTATCGGTTGTCGTACATTCGTCATTAATTTTTTTACATTTTGTGTATGGTGGTGCTCTCAGGAAAAGTTCCATAACTCCATCAAAACAAAAGATTTTTTGATCGAATTTGTTTTGTTTCTATCAGAGATTATCGCTCTTCTCTACCTAACTGCAAAATCAAAACTTAGATCATGTTTTCCATTTGTTATTTGAGCACATTGCTGAAAACAACAGGTTGTCCATTTTTGACGTATTTTCAAACTTCGTTCTCCAGCACACCGTCTTTTCTAAAAACATTTCTTTACAGATCACGATAAAGAACACATTCAAAAGTACAAAAGAAACGGAGTTCTCACTTTTGCTAGAAAGGAAAAAATATCATATTTAAAAAGTTCTCATTTTTTTCGTCTTTCGTATAATTTGCTTAGTTTTCTTGATTGAAGCTCTGAAATCAAAGTTTAGATATGATGTTATAGAGTATTTCGCGGCGCATCTTTTAGAAAAACATTAACTTTAAGATCTTAAAGGGACACGAGAAAAATGAAAAATACTAAAGGGCTCATTTCCTCTGGCGCACCCGTTATAATATAAAATTTTCAGATTAGATAATACAGGCTAGCGAAAAACGAAAAATTTTTTGACATTGAGAAAAGTCGTTCCTTAAATATGTGATTGTATACACACCATCACTCATAATGTTTCCTTCCACAAGATAATCTTCTGAACGTATTCTTGTTCCAATTGATTGTGGTCCTATACAAACATTATAAAGTAAATAGTGAAGGGTTAGAATTTTTGTTTAAAATCGTACCTTCATGTACATTAAGACAACATCCCACTCCATGCCCTGTTCCATGTCTATAATCTAATCCAACATCCCATAATGCTCGTCTAGCAAATGAATCTAATCTTGCACCTGTGGTATTTTGAGGAAAGATACATGTTGCTATGGATATGAAACCTTTCAATACTCTTGTAAAACATTCCTATAAAAGTAAAGTACACAATGTATAAGGCTACTTCATCAAAAAAAAATAGCATTTACTTTTTCAAATGCGGTTGGCATAGAAAAGTGTACTGTTCGTGTTACATCTGTTGTTCCTTCTCTAAATACTGACATGAATTGTATTCAACATCTATAGTAAAATGAATTGAATTAATAACTCACTTATATTGTCCACCAGAATCAACTAAATACAGCTCATTAATATCTAAAGTTGCATCGAGTCCTGGTATTGGTCTAAAAACAGCTTAATTATATATTCATTGCTATACATTCATTGACATATTTTACCACACACTTATAGTGAATAATAGCTGCATTTTTTCCCGTCGCTGATATCGTTTCAAAACTGTCATATAAATAATTTGACTGTTCACTTAGAAAGAAAAATATTTGCTTAGTAAAGAGTCACTAATTGATTTTGACACAAGGACATACCGGCGAAATGATTGCAATTTGTCTGCAACAGAACATTCTGTTAATTTTTCTTTGCCAATCTATTGAGAAAAATGTAAAAATACGTCCAGTAAGTACTGAAGGGCCTCCTCCTCGTCAAACGTCTACTTTCATCGCATAACATGCGATCCTGGTAAAAAGTTTCACAAAATGTGTCTTATCTTAGACGGATAATACTAAATGTCTAAATTTCCCTAGTTATCCTAAAAACAAGGGTCAAAAAGTAGGTGTTAGTGCGACAAAGATTTTCACACCATCTTGAGTGCTGAAAGGCTCGGAATGGTCTTAAAATGTGCTCATGACTCGACGACATTCTGGGACTAACTTGAACTTTTTAGCACTCAAAATGGCAAAGAAATCGTTTGTAAAAAGTAAAAATAAAATTTCACTTGTACGATAATGTGAGGGATGAGAATATGAATATCTTATCTATACTATGTAGGTTATCTACAAAGACTAGATCTAAACGTTTCAGGGATATCTCACGTCTAACTTTATGAACACACAAATTAACATCATCAGCAAAGTTATAAGGTGTGCGTAAAGCAAAAACGGCGCAAAATTTTATTTTCTATTTATTATACATCATTGGATAGAGCTTTTCACGTTCAGTTTTTGATGCTGAATAAGAAACAAATAGTTTCAAAATTATAAACAAAATAAAAAGTCGAAAATTCGACATTTTTTCCAAATCGAAGGATTTTTCGATATAAAACATCGGTTCTGAAAAATTGAAGCGCACATATTCGTAATCAGAAATATTTTTCTTCCACTGCTGTAGGTTTAGTGCTACACCACTGCTGATAGGGACTATTAAAGTCACCCATAAAAACAAAACTACCATTTCCGTCTATTTCTTCGTACTATGTTTTACCATAGAAAGTACGCTTATAAAATAGTTTAATTGCATAAGTATCAAGAATTCAAATAATACTAGAATTCAACTATTTTATTTTTTGAACTTTCCAAAACAACTTCCTCTGAAATATTCGGAACAGAAAGCGATATAGATTCTAAAAGTAAACACTTTGGTCTATCTAATCATGTACAAAATCTCAAAATCAATACTTTGGACGAAAACTGACTATATTTTGACAGGGGATCTTGATTAAAGAGTAGAACCATTTACCTTTTGTTCAAGCCAGTGTAAAAATGAACATAGAGCAACAGCATCTTTAATCTAAAGTAAACAAACAATCACGAATCAAACAAAAGTTCTATTTTGACTGTTCAAAATTGTAATAACTTACATGAGCATGTCTCATACATTGGATTTCACACGCATTTTTGACAGATTTCAATGCATAAACAATATCATCTTCAAGAACTAATTGTTTCTAAAGATAAACGCAAACAAGTTGGAATTAACTTTAGACTAAATCATTCACTTGTACGTTAGATGAGTTAGCTCAGTTCACACCTTTCAATACATATCTCTTTGCAAATAGTCATCGTTTATAAACTATATCGCAAGTGAAGTTTAATAAAATTTCGTTGATAAGATCAAGATTAAGTAAAATAATTTTTGACAATCAAAAAATACTTTTCGTTTAGAAAAAGTTAAATATCACGCTTACTTTTGAAATACAACATTGTACCGCATGACTACATGTTGATGATACCTAAATATAAAGTAATGTATATGTTGGAGTTGACTCTAAAACTCAGTTGCCTTTATTAGTTGACTCTAAAATTTGAAAGTCAACTAGATAAAAGTCACTTGTTTTTTAAATTTTGAAATCAACTAGTTCACTCTTCAATTTGAAAGTTGTTTGAACATCAAGGTGTGATGGTGCAAATTTTTGATTTTTTAGATGTTATGGTGGTG